ATATATATATATATAATATATATATATATATATATATATATATATATATATATATATATATATATATATATATATATATATATATATATATATATATATATATATACATATATACACACACACACACACATATATATATATATATATATATATATATATATATATATAGTACATTAAAAATATTATGAATAAAAAATAATAATAAATATGTAAAATATATTTTACCCTCCATTTATTTCAGTCTAAGAAAATATATAGTTAAGCCTTTAAATGTCACTTTAAGCTGTATAGAAGTGTCTTGAAAAATATCTAGTAAAATATTATTTACTGTCATCATGGCAAAGAGAAAATAAATCAGTTATAAGAGATGAGTTATTAAAACTATTATGATTAGAAATGTGTTGAAAAAATCTTCTCTTAATAATAATTCTGACTTCAACTGTATTTATACAGGCCCGTAGCCAGCCTGGATGGTTCTTTTTTCTCAAAAAGTCGACCTTTCTGCAATTTTAAGGCTCGTTTTCTATTTAAATACTGTATGAAATTGAAATACCGCATTTTAGTGACATTTTTTTTTTTATTTTGAATTAGCTTGTCAGGAAGTCCTCCTAACCACACTTTTTGACAATTTTAGCCAAAATAATATTCAAATCTATTCGATATACTCTTTCTAGTACTCGTACACCTTTTCAGTGGTCCGTTNNATGTCAAGAATAAAGTCCAAGACTTAAAATAAAAGTTACTTGTAAAATGTGTTCTCAACAGCACATTCGCAAAAGAAGACTTCTCGCGCGAGAGTGCGCATCTGTATGTCATTAAAAATATATATGGCATTGTGCAAATTGGTCAGTCAAAAGTGGATAAATGAGCTAATGTATTGGACAAATTCTGGACCTTTGTCAGTGATGGGTCGGTATTAAAAACAGAACAATATATATATATATATATATATATATATATATATATATATATATATATATATATATTTTTTTTTTTTTTTTTTCATTATATAGGTATGTTGTATAAGTATGTTGATGGTAAAATAATATATATTTTAAATTTATATTTAATAATAATTTATTTAATTTTATATTTATTATTATTTTAACAAAGTCGCTGGTTCGAGCAGTTAGCATTTCTGTGTGAGGTTTGCATGTTCTTGACGTGTTGGCATGGGTTTTCTCCGGGTGCTCTGGTTTCCCCCACAAGTCCAAAGACATGCGCTATAGGTGAATTGGGTAGCTAAATTGTCCATAGTTTACGAATGTGTATGGATATTTCTTAGTCATGGGTTGCAGCTGGAAGGCCATCCGCTGCGTAAAACATGTGCCGGATAAGTTGGCGGTTCATTCCGCTTTGGCAACCCCAGATCAATAAATGGATTAAGCCGAAAAGAAAATCAATGAACAAATGATATTGTAATGCCTTTCTATCAGCTGGAACCAGTCTGACCATTCTCCTCTGACCTCTGCCATCAACTAGGCATTTGAGCCCAAATGAACTGCCGCTCACTGGAAATTTTCTCTTTTTCAAACCATTCTCTTTCAACCCTAGAGATGGTTGTGCGTGAAAATAGTAGATCCGCAGTTTCTGAAATACACAGACTTGCCCATCTGGCACCAACAACCATGCCACTTTCAGTCACTTAAATCCCCTTTCTTCCCCATTCTGATGCTCGCTTTGAACTGCAGCAGATCATCTTAACCATGTCTACATGCCTAAATGCATTGTATATATATATATATATATATATATATATGTGTGTGTGTGTGTGTATATATATATATATATATATATATATATATATATATATATATATATATATATATATATATATATATATATATATATATACATATACACACACACACACACACATATATATATATATATATATATATATATATAGTACATTAAAAATATTATGAATAAAAAATAATAATAAATATGTAAAATATATTTTACCCTCCATTTATTTCAGTCTAAGAAAATATATAAATATAAGTTTTCAAAAATAGTCAAAAACGTATTTATAGAAAGTATATTTATATAAATGTATATATATATATTTTCACATTTTTTTGTATATTTTGAAAAATAAATAGTCTCATATAGATTTAAATATATGGGATATTATAACACAAGAAACAGAACCCCTGCTGTCATTTGTAAGATATATGTATTTCAGGAAACTGATCCCATGTCAGTGTAATGAAGGCATGTGCTCTATCCACAGGCAAGCACTCTTATCTCAGATGGTTCCTACATGGTAGCGTAAACACAATACTAATGCGACGCACAGATGACACACTGATGCCATATTGTAATCAAGGCTGGAGATGGAGGGATGAAAATAGTTGGTTGCTCATTGTATGGTAGTAAAGGCACGTGACTGCATTTCTCTTTCTCTCTCTCTCGCTGTTACTCACGCAGACATGCTGCAAGCCTTATCTGATTGTTCTCTTTATGGCAATTAAGAAATAGCGAGCTAAAAATACGTCTCTGTTGTGATTTCCTTCTTAAATGGGTTTTGATTTGTTGTCGTTTTTCTCCCTCGTGCTGGCAGCTGAGCGTTTGCAAGAGGAGGTGATGTTCTGAACTAGAGTACAACCTGTCACCATTCTGTAGTTGGCGGTGGCATGAAATGAACATAAGCAGCACGTTTTCAGCATAAATGAGCTGTCAAACTGTCAGCCAACAAATGCCGACAGACATAATCAAATAAACAGTATTCTGAAATGTTAGTAATGTATTGTTGTACGCCCACTTTTTATATATATATATATATATATATATATATATATATATATATATATATATATATATATATCAGCAGCGCCGGTTGAAATGCATTTTCCCCATAGGGATTTAGTCTTTGTTAAAGTCTTGTAAGTCACGAACAAATCGACCTGCTATGAGGAGGATTGCAACATTACGAACTTTGATTTGAAGCAATGACAAATTTAAAAAGATGGAAATGTAAGAAATGATTAGTTCAAATCTGTTGGGTGCGTCTTGAGAAACAATATATTTCAAGAGCATTGCACAATATGAAAACATAAACAACGAATCAAATAGGTTGAGAGTGAGTCGACTACACCATTGCTTCAAGCAAGAGGGTAATATATAAACTTACTGGCCACTTTATTAGGTACACCTTAATATTCCTCAGAGATTTTGCTCCATATTGACATGATAGCATCACGCAGTCA